GTAAGTCTGTATGTATGTATGTATGTCTGTATGTCTGTATGTATGTATGTGTGTATGTATGTATGTATGTATGTATGTATGTATGTATGTATGTATGTATGTACGTGTGTGTATGTATATGTGCACATGTATGTGTATGTACATCTGTGTGTGTATATGTATACATGTGTGGGTATGTATGTAGACAGATGATGATGATGATGATGGATACGCACACAGTGTCCATTGCCTTCTTCCGTACGTGAATGAAGGCATATACAATACAGATGCATCAGTGAACCGAGAGGTTGCATGCATGTATCTACATATGTACATATACATACATTCCATTGCATTACCTTACCTTACATTTCATTACATTAGTACATACATGCATACATACATACACATGTCACATACATACATGAAAAAATGCTAGACACACGTGCGTGCTTCGCCCCCACGTTGTGTTTGCATCTTGGCTCTGTGAATATCGCGGGGGTTTGCTGGGATCGGCTTGGACGTTTCGGGTTTTGGGGTTTCGGATGCATGGTGTTCGGTTTTGAGCCCGAGGGCGCGAATGAGAAACCCCGACCCAAAACCACCTAAGCGAGAGGTTGGGCTGGGCCGGGCTGAGGGGTAGGACTGAGGAGTACTTCTGGTGTCATGGTGCGCAAGTGAATGTAGAGAGCGCTGACCTTATGGAGCCAGGAATGACAGACTCCACAACCAGTCGGAGGTGACAACATGGTCCTAGGGTGGATGGGCAAATCCTAATCTTCTATATTTAGTATTCAGTATGATGCAGACATGTGTGTATGTTACAAACGTTACACACACATAGGACGAGTGGATGTCCTATACTGCCATGGCAGATCCTGTGAGTGTGATTCTGATGTATTTCCGGGAGTCTTGAGTCCTGCGACGTACCAAAGCGTGTATTTACGGCAGACGACAGGAGTCGTACACGACTGGAGACACCGTGTCTTTGATTCATCGCACCCTCCGAGCGTGTCAGGCAACCTGGAGGATCCAGCATGTGGGCTGCTGAGTCGAGGGATTTTGCGCCATGCAATCCCGCTCACGTCGATCCACGTTTGCTGATAAGACTTCACGGCCCGGCGTGACAGCAGAAAGCTTTCTTTTCGAAAAGGTGTGACGTGAAGCGGGCATCCTCCCAGCCTCCACAGGCCTTTCCACGATTGACTTGATGTCCCAATCAGGAGCTGAAAGGGCAGATGGGCACGCGTGTTCTAAGGCACTTGCAAAAATGTGCAGTCAGGCTCTCTTCTGCGGTCGCTGGTGCGGCCAAGAGTGTGTGCAACAGCTGCACCAGGTGCTGCAACGCGAAGAGAAATGCATTGTGGTCAGAGTCTCCACACGGGGGCACACGAAGCAAGTCACAAGGCATGTTGTTTTCGCGTGGAGGCCAGTTTCATGCTGACCAGACCTAACTTTGGTCGGCCACCGGAACGTGCAGGGCAGCAGACCTGGACAGCACGAGTGACACCTCTGAAACTCTCGCCATAGCCCTCATGTTTCAAGAGAGGCTCTGCGATCCTGATCTTATGGGAGAGTCTTTCAGGCCAAATTCGGCGTGCGTGTGCCAGTCTTGGTTTCGCACCCGTAAGTCAACGGAGGGGCTTCGATGACCTGGACCTTTGCTCCACTGTTCCATGGGCAAGGTTGGCTTTGTCTCTCTCCGCGCTCAAGGCATGACAGAATTGAACCCTGAGGCCGCCGGAACTACCATCTCTGCCCTCCGATGCCAACATGGAGGATTGCAATGGCTGCAACCGGCAAACCACGAGGCACTTCCTGCAGTGCACTTATGATGCTTGTAGCTTATAGAGTTTGAGTGAGGCCAAGATTTTGGCAGCGAAGGGATGCCGACGCGCAAGGCTCTCCTGGTCGTAGCATGTCGTAGGGTCATACGCGGTTTTGAGCACTGATCCTCCTTACCTCATGTCGTTTGCTTCTGCTTCACTTGTTGGATGCTACTTCCTCCATTCTCCAGGCCGGCAGGAAGAGGAGCGGTGCCAGTGGTTTGGCTGCTCGCGTAAACAGGGCAGCAATCACATTCCGAATCATCTTTGATGTGTTGGAAAAGGATACGGCAGCATGCGCCACTCTGCAGACTCCAGAGACCTATATGTGCCTCGGAGAGACAATGCCCGACAAGGGCTTCTTAGAATCACTGTGCATAGACTCATAAAGAATTGTGCATGTCTCTCAAACGGAATGAACAACGTCGTGCTGCAGCAAAGGCAGCCTGATGTTGAACATCATACATGTCCATCGCCATCCTCGATGCATGGCACGCAAAGCTTCGCTGTTGTGCATTCTCTCACACTTACCCGGTACTGCAAGCAGCAACGTGCAGATCCAAGGACGAGTCATTACTCCAGTATATTGCACAAGCCCGGGACGCGATCTCCATCCACAAGTGCGAGATTTGCAGTTTGGCTTGCATTGATGCATGTCGTGCGCTACTGTGGGATGCATGCTGAAACCATGCTGAGCATGCTTGCTACTGACCTTCAGCGCATACATGGCCACGGTCTAAGACATGTAGTGCAGCATCTCGTCTCAGCAGTGACAAAGGTGACGTTCACCATGGATGAGAGGAAACCGCAGCCAGTTGCGCCCGCAGAACAAGCCAGTCTCTGGTGCAGCTGTATGTTTTCACATGCTGCAAAGCACAAGGGCCACGTGAGCCCTCATTGTCCTGAAGGACTCTTGAGTGGAGAGTAAGCTGCTTGTGATTCGGACTGAGCTTTGACTCAGGCTCGTCCTTTCCTCCCTTTGACATCGAAGGCCAAAGCAGCCTGGGCCTCAAGGGATGCTTCCCCGTTGCAAGCCTGTCTGTTTGAACGCCGTGTGGGCCTGATTGTCGGCATGTGCCATACGCCTTTCGGTTTTAAGCCCTGTAGTAAGTTTGCTGCTCGGTGCGCTTTGAGGGTCATTTTCTTGTTGGAAAGCAAGTCGCTTCCACCTGGGAACCATTTATAGTGGGTAATGTGGACTTCAGGGGCAGGCCTTTTCAAGCTCAAAACAGGGTGCTGGGCTTACAGACCACGCTTGGCGGCTCAGAAACAGGCGGGCTCGGTGATGCCCTGTATACTATATACTTGTACGGCTCCAGAAAACATGCTATTCCTAATCTGCAGAAAGTACTGTGTTTGGTCTGGCTTGAGCACCCGGGTCTGGTTCAGGCACTTCTTGTGTCATTCTCGGTGTCACCGCAAAATCCTTCGAAGTAGTTTCTGCACAGCCCAGCTCATGGGCATGTGCTTCGAGAAGCGCGAGCTCGAAGAATGCGTGGTTTATGTCAAAGCATTTCCGTTGTCCCCTGCCATCCCGCCCGAAGACGCTCTAACGTTTTCGGAGCCTGTTCCAAGCCCAAGCCCTGCAACAACATTGTTGGACAAATCTAGCATTTCATCCCCAACTAGCACTTCCAAATCAAGATTCGTGCCCTGCAAATGATCCTGAGCCTGGTTTGAGCTGTCTCATCCAGTCTGCAGCCCGATATGTATTGGCATGTTCCAGGCCCTCAAGAATTCACCCGGGTCTAGTGGTGTGTCCAATCTTCCTCCCACCAAGCCCAGAGGATTTTTGGCAGGGTCTGCAAAATATTGACCGTCTGCACGAAGAAGCTGGGTCAACCGTTCATGCATGTTTTGGACTGAAAAGAAAAGACGTATTCAGCAATTCTTAGTGCCATTCTGGCAACTCTAACAGGACGTTCTCCCGGCATATACATGCACACTGCAATAGTATCACTCAGCTAGTTGGAAATCAGCCAACATCAGCCATTGCTGGGATTGTGCAGGTCCTTGGTGCTCATGGACTTGTCCTGCTGTTGGGGCGATTGTCGGGATTTGACATGGATGCTTTGTTCAATATGATTGTTGGTTTAGTGATGGAGTGTCGGCCGAGCCTGCGGGGAGGTTGCTGTCGGGTTCGTACTGACAGTGACACTGCGAGGCACCCAAAAAACGGAGTTCTGACAGCGGAGTGCTGTGGCACCTTATCCCGGGTTCCTAACTCGTTTCACTGAGTCCAGCAGGCAGCCGTTGGTATTTATCGAATGCAACTATGACGCAGCCGCTGCAACATGTATATAGTATCTGTGAGTCATTCCACCTGTGTGCAGACGTGAGTAGTGTGGGACGGTGGAATGGCTTGTGACAAGTCTGAGTGGTGTGCAGAGCGAGCGCTCTCCTACCTGTAGTTAACATAGGCCCGAATTAGATCCTACTCAGGCAGTGCATGGCTGGGATAGCTCTTTGGCATACAGGCTAGGTGTTTGCCCAACTCGTGCGGAGTTGCGGGTCTTGTCGTCAACAGTTGCTCTGCAATCTGCTAGTCACGGCCTGGCTTCCTTTTAATTCTCGCGCGATCATCAAATTCGATGACGCGGACCGGTTGCCAGGCTTTCGGCTGTTGCTGTGGCAGTTTCAGATTGGCCGGCATCATGTACTATTGAACCTGCACTTGCTGCTTGACAAGCTCTTGCTAGACCTTCTCACGATGTTGCTCGAAGCGTTGTTGTACTGAATCTGCCAATCGCCGTGTTGTACTTTAAGATATGCATGCCGATAACAAACTCGTGCCAGCGATTGTGTCTTGTGTGTCAGACTCGCGGAGTCTGACACGTTGCGTCGGCGGACTCAAACGCCATGCAGCACGGCATTGAGAGGTTTTTCATGTGGCAAGTTCCCAGGATGGCCACTGGCTCTTTCAAGGCCTGGGGCGTGTTTGTCACAGGAGACTCCGCACCTGGTGCTTTCGGCTCGGGACTCACAAGTAAGTCAACCTCACTGCACATGTCCGGAGCGACGTCCAAGAGTGCGCGGCTTCCTACATCGGACGTGAGCCCGCGTGCTTTTATGTTTACCGTGACCTGTGGGCAGAAGTTCACCTTGCATCGATGGGTTGTCAGACGCTGCCTCCTTGCGACACTTCGCGACGCCTTTTGGCCGTTGAGTGCCCCTCTCCATTTCGGGAAGCTGAGCCTTAGTGGCGCATTCCTTAAGTTGGTGGACGGTGCATGTGACGCTTTTGACAGTGAAATACAGTGAAGCGGACAGCTTCAAAAGAGCCTGCCAGCAGCAGGTTGGGTGCACTGTGCGAAGGTACGCACGCCTGCACTGGCGCTTGAAGACGACGACCAAAGCTGATGCAGTTGAGGTTGCTGTGCAACCTTGTCCTGGAAGCCTGGTACGTGTAACATTCTGTAAGAAGCTGTGCAAATTCCGCACGATGCAGGGATGGTGGATCGTGCAAGCAGCTGCCTTAGCCCCTGCACATGGTGGTGTAGAGTGTAGCCACAGGCCGCTCAGCAGCCATTTCAGCCATCGCAAGTTCGTACCTCTTCTGTCAGGTTTCTCCGGGAAGCGTATCTCGACCTCCACGGCCACTTTTGTCGGACAGCTTTCGCTTACCATTGCTTCTCTAGATTAGGGATGGCCGCGGTAGTCTGGACCTCGAGCTTGCACAGGTAGATTGTTGCATGTGTCGTTCTAAATGCTCAAGTTGCGAGAAGAAGTGCGGTTTGATTTGGACAGTAAGCCTCTGATGTGCTAAACAGGAGGCTCAAGCTTTTGAGGCAAGATCGGGGAATAACTATACTACTTGCTCCCGCACACTGAGGCATCCAGAAGAGATCATCTTGAAAAAACGCATGGCTCGGATCGTGATCGAAGCACCATACAGAGCCGAAGCATCGTCCACTTCAACGGGCATGTAAAGCAGAAGACTTAGCCGCTGGATGTCCAGATTCCAGAAGAGCCACCAGTGACAAACCACAAAGTGGCCTGGCACAGGAGTTTTGTAAATCTTCCACCAAAACAGAGTGCAACATGACTATGTCCTATAGCAGATAAGATCGTGACAGGACCATTGTTTTTGCCAAATCCTTTTAAACCAAATATTGTAACATCACTATGCAACATTTTCATGTTCAGAAAAAGTACAGAAACAACTATTGTAGTATCGCTATGCCTTTCAGCAGTCTAACATGTCAAACCAGCATCCCCAAAACCAGATTCTCAAGTTATGCTGCATGGTGATGTAGCAGTTTCCTGGATGATGTACCAACGAAACATAGTTCTTGAAACCGTTGGCGAAGGCAAGGGTGTTCAGCGGAGGCAGTTCGGATGACAAGATGCGACGATGTTATTGATTCTTTCTCTTTCCCTGGTACTACCTTAAGGACCTTAATGATCCCTATGTAATTTTCAACGCTGCGCGTCGCACACGTCGGCTGGGCTGTACTTGAAGCAGGTACATCGTTTCGGAAAGCAACGAGTAGGTCACATAGGTGGGGTCTTGAGTGAATGAGCACAGTTACTTCAGAATATCTTTAAATGTCAGCATATTGATTTCATGCCGAGGCTCTGAGCAATAATCCCACGCGAAAGGTGACACACTCCATTGTCCCATAGACGTTACTATAATAATCGTATCACACTTGTCACTATGTTGGAAGGGGAATCAAGCCTTGCAACGAAGAACAAGACACAGCCTCAGAACTCCCAAACTTTGGCACCAGCTTCATGAATGATGGAAGCTAGCCCGTCTTGCATCGCTGCAAGGAAGTGACAAGCAGAATCTCTGGACATAGGGGTTGCCAATCCGAAATCCAATGTTTAGCGGGACCGGGCGGGGTCAGTGGCCGGCGAAGGGGGAGGGGATTAATTAAGTGGTGCGGACACCGAAATTTCTGTCAGAGGTTCCGGCCGGGGCCGAGGCGACTTTCCATCGAATTTAAGTACCTATTCTAAATGTACCGGGCCGGCTGGAGTTGTTGCTTCGCGTTTCGGGCCGGCGCAATTCATTGAACATGACAACAGACGCAGCATCTGCGCCCCGAGGATGGCAACTCTCTCGCTCTCTCGGTGTTAAGTGCGACAGGACGATCCATTGTAAGTTCCGATATGACCGGCTCCCGTCCTCTGTACGATTCCTCGTAATTAATTCGTAATTCCAATGCCATTGATATTTACACAATGCCGTGCTCGCCGGCGTTCCCGGCGCGCGCGATCCATTCAAATAAGGTGCTACTGGTACGCTCGATTCAAGGGGTTGGTGCGATACCTTGTAAACTCCAATACACGCGCGGCACGTCTTTTGTGAATTAACAACCCTCTCAGTGCTGGCGGCATGTCCGGGCGGGGTCGACGTGCGAAACGGGTCTGCGCGTGTGATGCCGTGACGTTTTTCGGCCTCCGACGTTTGAATCGCGCCGGTACTGAAAAAAGGATGGAGCGGATAGGGAAGCCACATTCCCGTAATACCCCTTGCAAATTCTGAAAGATGGGCCGCATACTGCGCGGGAAGTGCCAATCTCTCCATGGATGTGACCTCTCGGCGCCGCCGATGTGGTGTCCATTGAGCGAGAACCTCGTAAATTTCAATACATGGGCATGCATGGGCCGTGCACGGGCACCGAAATTACAATCGGCCTGTCGTTCTCCTCCGGTAAGCAGGATCCGTCGTGAATTCCAACACATGGCTCGTGTGCCGCACTTCGGGATTGCTCTTGAACCGACGAGTAGTTGGAGTTCCTGAATATGCCTGTATGTGGGGGAAAGCAATTTGGGTGTGCTCGTGATGTCGCTACTTGTTGGAATTCTGGCCGCGCTCGTGAATCTGCTCCTGTAGGGAGAAGCTCCACACTCGTCTTTCGATTACCGGCGTAGTACGCGGAGTGCCTGCAGGAGGCGGATGGACGGACGGATGACCACTCACGAAAAGCCGCACAGTGCGCAGGCTGCTTAAGAAGGTAGGTCGGTCGGTGGGCAGGTAAGCAGTCAGGCAGGGAGGTAGGTAGTTAAGTGCAGCCAAGCATACAGCTGGGTAGCCACGATGCTTGTTCCAGCGCCCAGGTAGTATAGTAGAAGTAGTAGGTAGATAGGCAGATGATTGAATGAATGTATGTTTGTAGATAAAAGGAGTAATAAGTGCATGATAATGCATGGATCGATGACATTACGAATGTCGAT